ACCAGGAAGTGGGTTTTTGTTCCCCAAGCACGGGCTTCTGGCTTATTGTACATTCCTAGTTCCTCAGTTCAATCTGTCAACTCGATCCTCTTTTAAGGATGGTTAAGGTCGTTGCTACAATTCCTTTTCCTGGGGTTTCCTTATAGCCTTTTACTTTCCCTTTCCACCACCCCGCCGTACCTGAGGAAGACCCCATGCCGGCGGACAAACGCTTTAAGTTAATCGAATTGATAAATCTAAGGGTTTTCAAATAAATGGGATAAAATTACCTCCCAACGATCTTTCCTTCAAGCGAGGACCGCTCGCCGGTCTTCGAGGGAACAATATTTTCATTTTAAAACCTAAAATAAAAGGTCTTCCCTTACTCGTTTCCCCTTGATTTTCATTCATGATTTTCTCTTCTATATATTTATATTATCTAAAATTTTATAAGAAGAGGAAAACAGCCCGGAACCCTAAACCTATGTTTAATTTTGCAACAAATAAATAACGGTTGTAAAACTCTAACAATAACAACAATATTTAAGAGTTAGTAAGCAGAATAAATAGGGACTTGTTCATTTAAGCGTAGTTGAGGCAAAGTCTTTTAGTGACTTTGATGTGGTACCACAGACTAGTTTATAGAGATTAGCGGGCCATTCTGCGGAGGTGATGGTTTTTCGAAAACGTTCCACATCTGCATATGAATTTGGTAAAGCTGAAGAGTTTATGCTCGGTGTCTTCTTGAGTGCTGGAAACGGAGCATAAAGGGCTGTCTCTTTTCTTAAATTTATGAAGATAGCTTGCGAAGTTTCCATGTCCTGATGGCATTTGGGTGGTTCAGTATTTGAGGTGTAGCCATTTTGCTTTTTGTCTCCTTTCAACGCTGGGGAAAATTTTGAATGTCAGCCGACCCTTATTGCTGTTTGTCTATCTTTCTTGCCTTGATTTCCTTGTCATACCAAATACTCTTTCGCTTCTTTTCCAGTTGCGCTTCAGAACCATTCTATTTCTCCTTGGCTTGCTCTTACATCAATTGTCTCATTTTTCTTTTTTTGGTGGATGACTACCCTTTCTTTATCGTGCGTGGCAATTACTTGTATGGCGTGCTGTACTGTTTTGTGGTTCTTATAAGAGCTTTTCGTTGGCTTTGCTCTATTATAGCTTTGCACTTGCTCGGTAGTCGTTTGGACTATCCGGCTGCACCATAACTTGCTATTGGGAGGAAGACGCTTTTATAGATTGTGGAGAGCGCTTTTGTGCTAAGTCCATATTCCACTTCCGCCATTTCTTTCAATTTATTGTACATACGTCTTGTCGTTTCCCTTATAGCGTGGTGTACCGGGTTCAGGCTATCACCTAATATTACTCCCAAGTAACTTTACTTTACTTGGCTTTACTCGTTTTACCTCTATCCGGATGTATGGGGGTACCCATTTTCCCTTTGAGCATTAGAGTTTGGCACTTTCGGGGGCTACCTTTAGCTCACCATTTGAAAGTAACTCGAAAAATGCTTGCGTCTTGTCGATTATTTCTTTTCTTACAACAACTAGGTCGTCCAAAAAAGCTACTAACTTGTAACCCCTTTCTGTCAGTTAGTTGTAGCAGGCTGTCGGAAAGGACGTTCCACAATAGTGGCCCAAAACTGAGCCCCGGGGGCAGCCTGTCGCTATTCCATGTTCGACGACTGTGTGCTTCGTTGCAATATCCTCTTTCCTTTGTTCGAAGTAGCTTACGATGACCTAGTAGATGTTTCGAGGGGGTTTTCTTGTATCCCAGGTTATATATCCATCTCGAGTTGAGCGAGATCTCTCGGATGAGCCAAATATACTAGATAAATGATTGTTTCATTCAAATTCAGCGTATTTATTAGATTTTTCTTTAGGGTATTCTTTTTAAAATAAATCAACCCTATTGTCTCCGTGAAATCGTTAAATGTGACATGAAAAGCGTGCAAGGTATCCGGGCCCGGCGTAGCACTGACACAATTCCAGAGCCGGTAAGGACGTGCATGGAAATGTGTGAAATTCTCAAAAGGAAATCCCCGCCATCTTTGTGATATGTGCGCGTTCAAACGTCAAGGAGTCCCGCCGGGCTGGCCCTCCGCTAAGCCCCAAAAGCGTATTACATTGGGCGGATGGCAAATCCAACTTGTCATTTACTTATCTTTAGTTTGAACACAACTTTGCAGTCCTGGGAGTAGACAATAAATCTCTCCGCTTGGAGAAAAAAACCTTCAAACCGCTTTTTCTCTTTTTTCCTTGAAAAAGACGTTTCGAAATTCGTGAAAAACAAAAATGATTTGTTCCGTCAAATAAAATTATCGCGTTTCGCTTTATTTCCCAAATCAACAACAGTAATCAACCCTCAGTTAAAAAAAACATACACACACAAACCTCTAAAAGAACTCGTGCCTCAAACATGTTTGCATGATATAATACGTTAGCTGACAATACGGAACAAAACAGGGGGGAAGTCTCGCCGGTGAAAACGACAATAAATAACATCGTTGGAAGTGTATTAGTTGTGCTTGTGACGGAGCGGGGCTTAGTTGGGAAAGGATCGGTGCTCGGGCAAAGTTGTTCGGTTCCCTTAAGCCCCACCGGTTTGACTTTTTTTGAATAGCAAATCAGACGAGCCGGTGTACCTGCCTACTTCGGGACGAATGGAAACGTTTTAACATATTTAGATATGATACTTGCCCTGTATTGTATATTTGTGTGTGTAAATCACCGTTTTTTTATTTGTCTGCTACGTTCCGTACAACTTCAAAATTGTATTTTTTTAACTTAAAGTTTCCAAAGGTACACTGAAACAGATTTTTTTATACAACCACATTTTTGGGTAGATTACTTGTTTCCAATATTATTACTCTGGTCCACGTGCCGTTTACAATGTAAGTGTGTGGAGAACACTAATTATATATGATGATGGTTTAACTATTTCATAAAATCCTTTTTTAAAAAGATAGCTCCTACTCACAGTAAGTTGTTTTGCAGTTTGTTTGTCAGGAGTTCTACAATCTGATGATGAGCTAAAAGCTCGAAATCCGGATCGTTGCAAAACAACTTACTGCGAGTAGGAACTATCATTTTAAAAAGGATTGAACACCGCATTCACTCCACCATTCATCATTTCTATATTTTATAAAATTGACCTGTTTTGGAGCATCCACTAGGTCCCGTTAGAGTAGAGATAAAGAGTGAAAAAAGTTTTTAACTAACTAACAATGGCTATTTTAATTATATCTAGATATACACATAAATGAATTTAATGTTGATTGAAAAAGGATCGGGGATGAGGGCCAAGTAGACAAACGTAGAGCACGCAATTCTTTGTCGAGCTTTTGGTTAAATTGCCTTCATCAGGAATCTAAACTACAGAACATTTGAAACTAGTATTGATACAACAAATATGAAAATAAGAGTGACCAATTTATATAACATACTCGAATTGGAAATTAAGTAACAGTTGAAAACATTGCGAGAACGCCCACAATTCTATGACCAGACTGACGGAATGGGGAGTAGACTGAACCCAGTTCTATCAGATCTTGTAATAAATTATTTAATAGATTGGGTTTTAAATCATCTACCTTTCAAATTGAAATACATAAAGAAATATGTAGATGATCTGATCTTGATCATGGTATGGTATGGTGAAAAAGGATATTAGAAAGCGGGGTTTGTACTCCCCAGGCACTGCAGCCTTCTGTCATATTGTACCTTCCTAGTTCCTTAGTTCAGTCAATAGACTCAATCCTTCTTCTTAGAAGTATCACTGTTGCTGCTGCAATTTTATTCCTAAGTTTTTTCCGTATGTTAGGTTAAATCTACATTGAGTTGTTGATTCGCATTCGAAGATGATATGAGTGGCTGTTTCCTCTTTCTCAATCTGCAAATGGAATCATCGCTGTATATACCCATGTTTTCTCAGATGCCAGTGACCGGTTAGTAGTCCTACCACACCTCTGAGTACGGCCCTCTCCAATTGCAGCAGTGCTTTTGCCAGTCTTGGTGAGGGTTGTTTCATCATAAGTTTACTATGTCTAGCACCACTAGAGTTTATCCACTTCTCCTTTTGTTTTGTTTGGATCCATTCTGCGATGGAGGATGCTATATTTGATTTGGTTATCCCTAGAATAGGTTTAGGGCCTATGTTATTGTCTTGCAGATCCTCCTCTGGCCAGTCTGTCGGCTTTCTCGTTACCCAAAATTCCCTTGTGCCCTGGCACCCAAGATATCGTCAGGTTGTTGTGTTTCCCCAGGTTTTGGAGATTTTGGATGCATTCGCTGACTAATTTTGATGTGATTCTTTTACATGCTAATGCTCTAATAGCTGCTTGGCTATCTGATCTAATGAGGATTTTTTTGTCAGTGCAACCTCTTTTAAGATTTTCCAGGGCACAAGCATTGATGACATGCATTTCAGCTTGAAAGACCAAAGTATACTTCCCTAATGAGTTTGATTGCTCATGTTTTGGGCTTGTACGGAAAACGCCTGATCCGGTTCCTTCGTTTGTTTTACAGCCATCTTTGTACCATATCATTGTATCTGATGCTTTCTTGTGTTCTTCCTCTCCTTTATAGTCCGTTGAGACTTTATAGGAAGTTGTGAAGATGATACCAAGATCATATAATCAATCCCCATTTCTCATAATGAGTGTCTGATTTTGTTGATTATGGTTGTCTGCCCGAATTGTTTAGTACCTTTCCAATTTAATTGTTTCTAGAGCCTAAGTGAGCTTTTCCTAGCCTCTCCTTTATTACATTTTTTCCTTCTTCTCGGAAAAAAAATTAATAAAGCGTAAATAGTGGCGGGACGAAACGAGAAGAGAAGCAGGAAGCAATTCGTGGCCTGCACGATCCTGATCGGGATGGCACTGGGTCCGAGATTGAAAAAAAAAGAAAAAAGCAAGGAGAGTCAGTTGGATATAGACGTTCCGAGGAAGAGGTGGTCTCTCCGCGAGGAAAAGAAAATATTGTTTTTTTAAAAAGTGTGTGTGTGTGTGGTTTGTGAACCTGGTCGGGCTGATCGAAGAGTTCCTACGAAGAGGAAGGGGCTGATCCCGGCAAGTGAGGAGTGATCCTGTGAGTTGGTACATTTCCAATTTCTTATCAGGCCTGATAATTCTGGACTAGGGACATTAGCTATAAATTTCGGCCTTTTGTTAGCTTTTAATTTAAAAGGATTTGTCTATGTACTTGTAAATAGAATAGTTGTGATTAGTATTCTTTTTTTTTCAATCGTAGTTTTAAACCCGAAGTAAGATAATACCTTAAGATATCTTTCTTGTGTTAACGAATTAACAAAGTAAGGAAGCTGTAACACCTTGTATGAATATTTCCAATGGAGGTAGGTTTAGCAAAGTTTCTAATACATTTGTAGGAGTTGTTCTCATTGCCCCTGTGTTACATAAATTTGCTAGTCTTTGTATGCTGCCTAATGTTTGGGTAGCTACTTGTTGTCGAGCTTTGTTCCACCACATTAGTGATCCATAGGTTATTCTGGGTCTTATTACTGCCGTGTATAGCCAATAAGCCATTTTCAGTTTTAATCCCCAAGATTTGTCTAAGGTCCTTCTTGTAGTCATTAGAGATATTTTACTTTTTGCTATAGTATGTTGCAGGTAAGGATTCCAGGTTAATTTCTTATCAAAGATTATTCCTAGATATTTGATGTCATTTTTTATTTGCAGCCCTTCGTTATAGAAACGTAATCCTTGTATTTCTATATTTCTTTTATTGGCGAAAGCAATTAAGGTGGTTTTTGAGGGGTTTACTTTAAGTCCCCGTTTTAAACACCATAGTTCCACCAGATTTAGTGCTCTTTGGGTGAGCTCTTTTAATGTTAAATCGAATTTTCCCTTGACTAGATGACAATGTCATCTGCATAGCCTTGGGTATAAATTCCACTCTTGATCATATCAAAGGTCTTTTTGGAAATGGTACTCAGACAATTCAATGCTTATCACAGTAACACAGTTCAGGGTTCAGGGTAGAAACAGAACAGGAAGGTAATCTAACATACCTTGAAAACCGTAATATTATTAGAAAGTGGTATCAAAAACCAACCTCATCAGATAGGGTATTGAGATACAACTTCCTCTCGTTTAAACTAAGAATAAATATATCTTATGATTTGATAGACAGAATCTTTAAACTTACTTCACCTAAATTCCATAATGAAAACAAAATATTAGTCAAACAAATGCTAGTAAAAAACCAATATCCTGTGTCACTAATTAATAAGTTAATTCAAGATAGACTCTTAAAACACAATGAGATTAAACTTGTACTGAAGAAAACACTATCGCCAGATATAAAGACATCACTTATGCCCAAGGCCTCTCGAATAAGTTGTCAAACCTGATCAAAATTTAAGCTGGGGTTCCCACTTTAAAGCTTACTTAAATACAAAATAGAAAAAACACAATGGTACCGTACATGGTTCGCAATTGGGATGGGAACGTTGTTGAGGTATACTGTGGGTGTGTTTTCATGTTTAGGGTAAATATTATGTTTGTTGGTTTGGTTTTGTTGATCTTGATTCTGCACCACTTGGAGACAGCATTCTGGGATGGTTAGGTGTATTTGGAGATTACAGGAAGCTGTGACAGGATGATTATCAGGAGAAAGGATTGCGGTATTGGATGGAGGAATAACGAGTACTCCACTTCCTTAGTGAATGGTATGTAAATATAAAAGAATGAGTGAAAGTGTGAATGAGGTCGGATTTCGGAACTGATTGTGTTTGGGGATGAAATGACCAAGCAGTCGATAGCCTCTGGAACCTAACCTTCCCGGCCGTGTAAGACCGAGACTGCCAACACCCTGGGTGACTAGTAATTTTTGGTAAATTATAACAGCTGGAATTGCTGGTGGACTAGGAAAAGCTGAACTCTATACAAGCGTGTATCTTTGACATACTTTCAATTTTGTTTAAAATAAAAATAACTCTTTTCGAAATGTTTATCCATTTTTAAATTAAATGTGTTTAAATTTGACGATAGAACGAATAGCAATAGTATTATGTTCGTAAAATTTAGAATTAATTATATTTGGGCTTTGTCCCTTCTTTTTGGTTTAATTACTTTTTCTCCAAAAACCAAGTTTCTTGAGAAAAAAAGTGAATTGTTGAATATATAATAGAAGATTGTTGATGACTAATTGGGAAATTGCCAACCCATTGAATTGTCAGCCACACAGTAGACGGTATCTTAGACGCCTCTCGGATTCTGTTGACAAATTCAGCAACAAAGGCAATATTAATCTTGTAATTATGACTCAAAAGGAGTGAAGAGGGGGTGTAAAACCGACGGAATCCTCCGTGTTTAGATTTGAGAATTTTCAATTAAACGAACATCGTCTAGGTTTTGAGATTGATTCGGCCGAAGGTGATACGGTTTTTAACTTTATTAATCAGCAATCAGGTTGGGGGGAAAAATTAATTTCTCACCGGATCGAACGGGCCTTTTGTGATATCTGTTACAAAGCAACAATCGCTCCCCCTCGACGATGGCGGATTCTTAACGAGTGAAATTAAATCCTGGATTAATGGCTTCATGGCTTGAGTCAATGGCTGTTTGAATAACAAAATGGAGAAACGGTTCAATTCCAGCTTAGCGCATCGACACCCTGTCATGTTGATTTAATTAATGGAGCCCCCCTCGCTTCTGAACTATTTCGGGTCAAACCATAACTCGAGCCGTTATAAAACGATTTGACTTAATCTTCTCACTGGTAGCTAATTATAAATTGAGCAATAAACAAATAACTACAATTCAAAATGGGCGTAAACTAAAAATTTAGCTACAGATTTGAAACAGAATCTTTGGGTTCCCTAATTTTATACAGATATGTGTTTTACTAAAAAAATACAAAGTTCTTCTTATTAAATAATCTTGAATCTTGATATTTACAATAAATTTATATGTGTGGTGGTTAGTGACCGTTAATCGATAGTTATTCAGAGATCGTGAGATGTGGTCTGGTGCGATGTAGGTTTCGGAAAAACATTTTCTTTATCGTGCCAACGTTTCGATCTTTATTGAGATCATCTTCAGGGCTCAAAGTTTTTCTCTACTGTGTAATTGTGCCATTCTTGCGTGTCGTGTTGAGAGTGCCTGAAGTGCACGACACGGAAGAATGACACAATTACACAGTAGAGAAAAACTTTGAGCCCTGAAGATGATCTCAATAAAGATCGAAACGTTGGCACGATAAAGAAAATGTTTTTCTGAAACCTACATCACACCAGACCGCAACTCACGATCTCTGAATAATGTATAAGTTTATAAATTATTTGGGTCAATCATGTTGAGTCAATCAGATTCGAGGTCAGACACTTATCTAGATACAGCCAAAGGAAACGGATGCCGTTTTTGGATTTCTTGGTGTTGAGTTTAGTTTTCCAATTTTTAACTGAATTTTCAAATCAGGAGTATTACAGTGGAAAAAAAATTGACTAAAATATTTCCATCTGATGTGTCTGAAGAAATACACCACCAAATTGATATTTTTCATTTTCTCTAAAAGAAAATTCTTCCCTTAATTTGTCTCATTGTTTTTATCAATAAATATTTGTTTATGCTATATTTAAATTGGGAATATCAATTAGACGTAAACACCCTCAACCCTTAATACAAAACAAGGGTAACGGATTTTTCAATGTTTAACTTTTACGGAATTTAAAAAGTTTATTCAGTCTCATGTAAATTCTGAAGTAATAAACTATTTAGTTTTCATGATTGTTTTCTTAATTTCAGTTTTTAAAATTAATAATGCCTCTTAGTGCTGAGGATGTTGTGCGTTGTGTGGCACTTATTGATGATGGTCGTTCCATCAGGTATGCGGCTATCGCCATCGAAGTTACCTACGAAACACTGCCGGACGCCGTAAGCCGTTTTCGAAAACTGAAGTCGTACCATAGAAGGCCTCTGGACGTCCTAGAGTACAGAACCACAGAATGCCCGTTTTTTGATTTTGAGATAGACATTTTACCAAATCAGCAACTTACTGTCGTTCAAGCGAATCATCAGCTCCAGGAAGTTCGAGGTGCCCAAATTTCTGAATGCACTGCTCGAAGAAGATTAAATCAGTATGGACTGATGGCTTTTCGCCCAGGAAGAGGAGTAGAATTGACCAGAACACGCGGAGTTGCACGGCTCGCATTTGCTCGAGAACACAGCCATTGGTCTTCGGACGATTGGCCTGCTGTACTTTTTACAGATGAGTGTAGATTTGCTCCGCGATCTCCAGATGGGCGTGAAAGACTGTGGAGAAGGTAAAATGAAAGGTACGAAGCTCGTAATTTTTCCCAGAGCCGACCTTTTCAACGTAGCTCAGTGATGGTGTGGGCGGGAATTTCAATGGAGAGTCGCACAGAGTTGGTTGTCGTTCGTGGAGGGTCTTTGGCGGCCACTCGCTATACGGATGAAATTTTGGAACATCACGCGATGCCTATCTCGATGAAATCTGCGTCAATCCTATTCTAATGCACGACCACATGTCGCTCGCATAGTACAAGCGTACCTTCAACCGCATAACATCAGGGTCTTAGCCTGGCCCGTTCTCCAGACTTGAACCCCATCAAACATTTATGGGATAACCTCAAAAGAAAAATAAAAGCACGTCCATCGCTTCCTGATACACTCCACGATCTTGAAAGTACTCTTCGTGAAGACTGACCAATCTACAAGCATATCGTCTTGCAGGCTGCAAAAAAAGACAAGACTAAACCAAAAATACAATCATGCACCGCTGATGATGCCAAGCAGCCGAAATATCCCTTAAAAACCAAACTCGGCGATGATAGGTAAACGAAGATAAACGGAAACGAACAAACTACACGTTCATCAAATGAAAGACTTTAACAATTAACGTATAAAAAAGAACTGGAAAACAGTAAATTTACAATAACGGACCAATGACGATGGCGAGAAGCTGAAACGCGTCTAACCGTCAAAATACGAGGATTGACGGACCAGTGTGATCTAAACAACAAAAGGAAAGATCCCTGCCTCCAAGAAGAAAATTGATATGTAAGAAGAGTGACGGCTAAACCGAAAACACAATGGCGCACCAGTGATGATGGAGAGAAGCT